AGCCGCGCCCCCCGTCCAGCGACCCCCCCCCAGTCCGGCGCCCCCGGACCCCACTCAGACCGGGCCCCCGACCCCCCCCCCCCCCCCCACACGGACCCCCTATAAAAAGAATGCAAGGAGGATTTAAAATGACACTTTCGCAGCGGTTGCCGTCCTGTATCTTTAATTCTTCAACACAAAAGAGTTTTTGAAAAGCTCTTTTGGCGAAAAAGAGATGCAATGTACCTATTACAGAAAAATTCTTACCTTTCTTACTTTTAAGCTTGTTAGTACTTTGTCCAACTCAATGCTCTAATAGTGATGTCCACTTAACAGTTGGCTACTTAGTTCCCAAGCAAGCCTTTGAATAGCAGTGAGGCTGAGGGTGACCTGGTTACACGAAACTCGCTGCCTTTGATGTGTGGATTACTCTGTCTGCGGTATTTTCCCTCCTCTATCAATCATAACGAAGTCGCCCTGCTGAATTTGGCAACTAAACACATAACTGTCAAATAAAATAAAGGGCACGGGTATCTAATGGACATCGGCATCTTTCTTTGTCGAAGGAGCACTATTTTGTGAAGCCTGGGACGAGTCAATGAACATGCGGGGGAATGAGCCGAACAAAATGGCGAAGACAATCGGTGGCAGCGAATGCACAAGGAAAAACACAAGTTAGCTAAGTTATCGGTCTTTTTCGAAGTACGCAGGTCCTCATTTCATCGCCACAGTGAAGGAGGCAACAATAACAAAAAACAAAACAAAACTAACCAAGGGCGTAGCGTGACCATTTTAGCAAGTACGCACGGGTCCATATGGTCGCAAAAACTTTGTGCAAAATGACTTTTTGCTTTCCTTTGATACATATTTCGGCAATTTACAGCCTTGTTTACAATATAACGTGATATTAAAAAATGCTTTTAGACGTTTTTCTTTCAGCTGGTACTGGAATATTTACAAGAACAAGGCGAGGCGACTCCCTTTTTGTTGCGCAAATTTAGTAATGATGTTGTCAACATTAGCAGCTTTGTGTTTATAAAGACAAGACAAGACAAGACAATGC